CTCCAATAAACTACTAGAAAACTGGAAGTGGCACTGTGGCTCAAGTGGTAGAGCACTCGCCTTGAGCTGAAGAGCGCAGGGACAGTGCCCAAGCCCAGAGTTCAAGCCCCACGACCGACCAAAAAAAAAAAAAAATCACAAGAAATCTATTACTTTTGTATATTTGTTTTGTATCTGGCCAACTCACTGAACCCTTATCAGTTCTAATATATAGTCTCATCTTTCTGAATATAATAATATTCTTTTCTTATAAACTTGATAGTTGCATTTCTAGCTTATTTTTCCAGTTTTGTATTTGTTGGAGACTTCTGTTTATATTTGTTAGTAGTTTTCATTTGCGAATAATGAAAAGCTTATTTTGAAGGGGAACTTCAAAAATTAGGGTTGTTGGGCTGAAAATGGAACTTAGAGTAGAGCATTTGCCTAGTGTGAACAAGACCTTGGTTTGATCCCAGCAACACAAAGGAAGAAAAAAGAGAAATTCAGAGAATCATGAGTTTTTCCCAAAAATCCCTAGTTAGATAACATGTGCAAGGTTTTTTCCTTTGCATCATGTTGAACTTAGGGGGTTTAAAGTGTATTGGATATTTTTCAGTATTTCAGTTATTTGTTTTGATGCTAAAATTGTCTCTGTATAATGAGTTGTTTAACAACACTATAAATTTTTCATAGCTTCCTTCTTTCTTTTTTGAAAAAATGTTTTACACTTGCGGTACACGTTTCTCCCCCTAATCTGGAGCTAGCCAGACTCCAAGGAGTTTTGGTTCTTTTCAGAGACCATAACCTGAGTGCTAGTGATATTTACTGGATTGTGTTTGTCCTTGTAATCTTTTTTAGAGGGTGAAGCAGAGAAAAAAATAATTTTTAAAGTATGGTGTGAGATTATTTTTTTTTGAGATAGTATCTCACACGTAACCTTGGCTATCCTCAAACTTGTAGTCCCCCTGCCTTAGTCTTCCAGGTGCTGGGGTTGCAGGTGAATACCTCCACACCTGACTAGAGTGGTTTTGATTATATATATCCTCTCATGTTGAAAATTTTGTTTCCAGGAGAGAAATACCATCATCCTTAAAATAATATGACTACTAAAAGGACTTTAAAAGTTTTTTGTTTGTTTGCTTGTTTTGGTTTTTGTCTTTTGTATATATTCCAAAATATAAAATGTTGGGAATGTAAAATTGTTGTGTGGTAAACTTTCTTGATCCAATTTCTTTCTTTATACTTAAAGTGCCAACTGATTATTATACTTAGTCTCATTGATTTCATTTTACTTTTTGTTTCTGAGGTTGTGCTTTTATTTTTCTTTTGGGGGCTTTTATATATATTGAGATTGCACTTTTAATTTGGCAGTTGCAGATGCTGTTCTGGCTGTATTTGGTCACCTGGCTTTCTTCAGCTATACCACTTGTGTTATCCCTCTAGCCCTGAGTTTCACTGTTTATTTTGGAGATGGAGTAGAGGTTTATAGAGGTTTCTGCCTATGGCTTTGAACTTCACTCCTTTGAATCTCAGCCTCCTGAGTAGCTAGAATTGGAGGCATGAACCGCCATGGCCTGGTCAGTTCCATGACTTTTCACAAATATTCATGCTTATGTAACTAATATCTCAGTCAAGTATAGAGCAATTCTTTTGCCTTATAAGTTACCTCCTGTTAACCGTTCTATTCTGTTCCTTAGAGGCAGCCATTGTTCTAAGTTTTACCACCACAATTTAGTTTCTTCTTTTGTGGATGATATTTAAAACCATAAAGCTGTGTGAGATCACAAGGATTGTGAATATAGAGAGTAATACAGAGAATATAGAGAGAAAGAAGAGAACCTAGCACTGAGCTCTAGCAAATGCCAGTGACTCTTGACAATGAGAGCAAATGAGCTAGGGCTGGGAAGGAGTGGCCTGAGAGAGAAGAACCAGTTTAGAGTCCTGGGGAAGCCAGTGAGAAGAATGTTTTAAAGGAGGGAATGATGAACTGGCTCAAATGCTGCCTAGAGAGGTCTTTGGGATGAGGATTAAAGATTGGGAAGGGAATTCTAGTGACTTGATGACAGCTCCTTTGGTGGAATGGTGTGGCATGAATGCTTGATTGGAGTGGATTTGAAAGAATGGGATGAGAGGGACTGGACAGCAAGAATGTAGGCCAGAGCTTGGTACTGGTGGCTCATGCATGTAATCCTAGCTACTCTGGAGATTATAGAAATCTAAAGTTCATGGTTCAGTGCCAGCCTAGGCAGGAAAGTCCATGACACTCTTATCGCTAATTAACCACCAGAAAACCAGAAGTGGGACTGCGACTCAAAGTGACAGGACACTAGCCTTGAGCAAATAAGCTGCCTAGGCCCTGAGTTTAAACTCCACAGTTGACGGGGGAGGGAAGGCATGCGCACACGCATGCACATGTGTGTGTGTGTGTGTGTGTGTGTGCGTGTGCCACCCTTTTGAAGAGCAAGGAAATAAGATGGTACCTGGAAATGGGGGTGTAGGGTATCAGGAGGTGTTTTACTATTTTAGTGTGCTGTAAGAAGGAAATTAACAGTGGAAGAGAAATAGATAATTACTAGAGCAATGTCCTTGAGTTGGAACTAATTATAAAGAAGGAGCTGGCCTGAGAGAGAGGTTCAGCCATGGTAATAGGGTCAAAGGCTAGAAGTGCAGAAGTGAGCAAGCAAAAGTTTTTTTGTGGTTATTTCTGTTTCTTCATGGCACAGGAAGAAAGAGGAAGAGGGGAGGAGGTATTATAAGTTGAGGAGAAAACTAAACTGAGATGGAAGATTTAGTGTATCATCACTGCAAACCTAACCTTCCTGTTAATAGCTGTTTATGTTTAGTAAGTTACTGCTATTTCCTTTATCTTAGTTTCTTCAGAGCCAGTGATATTATCTCTTGTGAACACAAGGTGAGAAAACACTTAGTATTATACATGGCTCATAGTTTAATAAAGGATCATTTCTTTCTCAAGTGTAGCTGTGTAGTTGTTAATAGATTACATGTAGCATGGTATTTGTAATATTGGAAATCTCACTTTAGTCAAATTGTGAAGTAAATGTATAATTAATATGTTGTTTTGAAATATATACTTAAATTGTTTAAGTGTACTTACATGTTCAGAATCTAGAATTAAGTAGTCAGGTTTTAGTTACCTATGATCACCTTCACTCTGAAAATATTAAGTGGAAAATTCTTGAAATAAAGAACTTATAAATTTTTAATAACTCAAATTATAAGATATTACTATAATTATTTTATCATTATTAATCTTACTGTACCTAATTTATAAATTAGGTTTATATATTGCAGCAAGTATTATTGTCATGAATTACTTCACCTGCCAAGCTACATTCTGAGGAATGTTATTAGGTAATTCTGTTGTCTACAGCACAATAAGAATATGCTTACACAAACTAAGATGGCTGTGGCGTCACTATCCTCTTTAACCTTACGGAAATGCTATCGTATACTCGCCCATCTTTGACTGGGAATGTTCTGTGATGCACTAGAGCATATATATAAGGTCCTCTTCATGGTTTCCAGGTATTGCTGAGGAACTTGGAACCTATCCCCTGCAGAGGTGGGGTGATGATGTACCTTTTTACCTTCTACTTTTCTGACCTATTGCCGCTGAAGTCTGCAGAGAAGCTAGGACCTGGTTGCTCACATCTGTAATCCTAGCTGATCAGGAGGCTGAGATCTAAGGATCACCATTAGAAGCCAGCTTAGGCAGGAAAAGTCCATGAGACTTATCTTCTATGAACTACTAAAAATCCAGAAATGGAGCTGTCACTTAAGTGGCTGAGCACTAGCCTTTAGCAAAAGAATCTCAGGGGCAGCACTCAGGCCCCAAGTTCAAGCCCCAGGACCAGCAAAAAAAAAAATCTATTGGATTTTTGATAAACTTCTCTTACCAGACTATTAAAAAGGTAATTTTAGTTACAGTTTTAGAAAGTTCTAAGTGAATATTTAAGAGTTCTGCTGATCTCTCTTAGTTTAATTTGACTTTGCAAAAGAGTGGAATAAAGTTGAACCTGTTCATTACAGATTTTAAAATCTCAGGTTGATTTATTTTAAAAATCAAAGTATGGGCAGTTTCTCATATTCACAAAATGAAAAAGTATAATGATCCCCATGTACTTATCATCTCCTACCACCTTGATTGATATTCAGATTAACTAAATGATCTTTGGGAAGATCAGGAACTGACTTGTCTTGATTCACTAATGAATGAGAATGAAAATTCTGAAGTAAAGTAATTTAATCTGAATTCTTTCAGTCATTATTTTATTTATACAAAATTTATTGATAATCTGATTGTTTCTTTAGCAGCTTAATAGCCAAGAGCAAAGAGTGCAAATCCTAGTCCTGTTACTTACCTGGTATCAGGGACAGTCAAAATATTCTAAGCTTGTTTCCATATTGTAGTATTCTAGACTCCGCCTCAAAAGCTTGTTATGAGATACATTGACTTGGAGAGTGAATGTTACCTAGTGTTATTCCTCTTTTTCCTAGTCCTTGTCTTTATCATGCAGATTTTTGTGCGAGATACCATTGGAGTCAGTGAGAGGAATAGATATGATCCTATCCTTAAAGATCAAGAATTCCAAAATCACAAAGTCTGAGAGCCATGAGAAATCTTTGATATCTTATAGTTTAGTTTTACTAAACCTGAAAAGGTTTAGCGAATAGTCCAGATTACATAGCTAGCCGGTAGTGGCAAAGCTGGGCCAAAACTCAGGCACCTACTTACTTTTCTTGTAGGGCAACCATTCCATTCTTGTCTGACTCTTCCCTCTTCCTTAATTCCTCGTCCTTCTAAATTGACGGTCCTGGCCTACATATTTTCCAATGCTCTGCCCTTTCGTTATGCAAACACTGAAGTTTTCTGTATCACTTCAGACTTGAACTGTCCCTAGATGCACCTTCCTTAAGATTCTTGGGCAGACTTTTTAGAGAAGGTAGGCAAGCTGTCTGTAATCACAAAGCTGTTTTTTTATTTTTCTCTTGTATCTCAGCCCAGGAGTTAAAGTCACTATTTGAAAAAAAATCCCTCAAAGAGAAGCCTCCAAGTTCCGGAAAGCAGTCCATATTATCTGTGCGCCTGGAACAATGCCCTCTGCAGCTGAATAACCCCTTTAATGAGTATTCCAAATTTGATGGCAAGGTGAGTAAAAACCTGTAATACTTTGTTCCTTTAAATAAAACTACAGTTGTGTGGCATTATTTTTTTTTTTTACTTTTTTTATTGTGAAAATACTGTACAGAGAGGTTACAATTACATGGGCAAGATAATGAATACATTTCTTATCAAGCATTGTAGCCTCCTCTATTTTTGCTATTATTATTATTATTATTATTAGATTTAAAGTTTCAAAAGTGCCTTGTAATTATAGAATGTCACTCACATTTTTTAGATTTAAAAAGGTAATAAGAATTTTCATAGGAATATCCTTCTTGTTCTTTCTCTGTGCTTATAGATATCTGAAAACTGTTTTACTTTTCCTGAGTATATGTGCACACATATTTTAGAAAGAGGAAGGAATACACATAGTGATATGCCTGTTTTATCTGCTAACTATACTTGAGAGTTTGGCCTAATTGGATTGTATTAACCAGTGTCTGCTTGTATCTGGAAAGCCTTGACATTGGTACTAGGAGGCAATTTGCATTGTCTTATCTGATTCTTTATATAACTGCAGGAATTGTTGAGGTTTGAGCTCCCTTTCAGAATTCCAGGCTCTTCCTTTGCATTCCATTCATTGCAGGGGGTTCATGTTTGATGACTTTATTTTTCCCTAGTTCATTCTAACAATATATTGTTATAAAATTAAAGTACATCTGTTTTCCTTTTAGAAAAATGGCCACTGTTTCAGATGGAGCCTTGTTCTATGTATAGCACCCCTCTCCCCCATTCTCAGCTGCTCTGTACCTCTATGCTGTGCTGAGCTGAGCAGAGCCTTTTTCAGGAGACAGTAGCAGTTGATTTTTATATTTATTGCTATTATGTTTGCTGCTTGGCATGGTTGTGGTGATGCTGAGTGATAGCTTGAAGGAGTCATGTACACTTTGTCTTATTTCAGCACTATTGCAATTAATAAACATACAGCTCTTTGCTTATGTTTGCATTTTTCATTTTCACATGCTAGTTCTGTAAGTTGTCATCTTGAGCAAAGAGATGTTTTTCTTTCAAACAGTTTGCCTCAGAAATTCAGCCTGTTTCTATAGGTTGAAGTCAGCATGAATGGCCATAGGAAGATGAGGTTGTTGATATTTGTAGAGAGGAAGAGAAATATAGTAACTGTCTCTAAAATGTAATATAATGATAAATAATGATTGCCTTATTAATGCATTATAGATAATGCATCAATAACATAAAGATCTTAACATACTCTGGAGTTTCCTCAAGAAATTGTAGATTGAATTGATGAAGCTTCTTTTATAACCTGCTTATAGACCTTTTTCTTCCCATAGTAAAGTAGGGAAAAGAAAGAAAGCTCCAGGGGACCAAAATAGCAGCCTTAGAAAAATGGTGGGTTGGACTGTAGAAGATTAAAAAGAAATCAGATAAGTGAGAAGTTACCATTGAAGTTAGGATATAGGGATAGAATTTACTTGTTGCCACTGTGTGATATAATTTCATTGTTTAAGAACATAATGGCTAAAAATTCTGCATGATAATGCACTCATGCCAACAAAATAGCTCAGACAAAATATGGCACTCAGAATTTTCTTGTATCTTTAGATTGAGTTTAGATTTGTCAGAAGGTTGTATAAGCAGCTGACTTCTGAAGTACAGGGAGAAATACTTAAAAAAAAAGCTATCTCCTCAGTCACACAGGAATTATTTTGTTAGATGTCTGTTTACGCTGAAGTCTTTCTATAATCTGCAGTGAGCATGTGCACAGAACAGTCACCATTATACATTGGTTAAAAAAATTTATATATTGATAAGTCTATCTTATGCGATGCTGTTTTCTTTTTATCCTACATATTACAATTGCTAAAATACAATTAAATCCTTGTTCTCATCTATTATTTAATATTGATGTCTTTGGCAGGTATGTAATGAAAGTGGCTAATATTTGAAGGATATTGTACTGTACATATTAAATTAGTCTTTCTTTATCTTTCTGAAATGCATCAATATAATATTCAGTGACATCTCTATGATTAATAGAGAATTATACTTGAGTCAAGCCTTTTTGTAACCTAGAAATTAAAATGACTATTCAAATAACACCTCAAAATGATCAAATTAGCATTTTGTGATTGCATAATAATGGGATTGTAGTAGTTATAACAGTACCATAGCTGCCTCTAGAGTTAAGATCATGTCAACCCCTTGGTAATAAAGCCTTTTCTGTGCAAGTCGACTTTAATAATTTCCAGATTGATTCTTCCCATAAATCATTCGACCCTCAGCACTAAATTTTTGTTACTGTTGTAACTTAAAATTATTTTATTTTTACTCAGCATATATTTAAGAAATGAAATGACTGTCCTCTTTTAATGATTCACTAACTTGTCATTGGAATTGCATGCTTTTACCTCAAATGTAAGAATTTTCCATGTATTTTTATCTCTCTTTCATCCTATCCCTGTTCCCCTTGTTCCCATAATATACACATACATATGTACACATATGTACACACTTACATCTACCTGTATATATGTTATTTTATATATAAATTTTTATTACTGTAGCTGGTTTGAAGCTTATTAATTTTTTTATTGTGGTTGGTTAATACTTTTATAAGGCATAAAATTGAGAAGGAATAGCTATACTTAGGCCTGTAGTTGCAGGCCTGTTGTAGTTGTAACAAGTCTTGGGCATGCGTGTGTGTGTGTGTGTGTGTGTGTGTGTGTGTGTGTGTGTGTGTGTGTGTGTGTGTGTGTAAACCCATATATATGTAGATATGTAAATATATGTGTGTGTGAATGTGTTAAAGCCACTAAAATATCTATAGGGTTTTTTTTCCCCTACAAATATTTACAATGCTTTTCTTGGGAATAATGCTAGCCTTATTTACATAATTAACTGAGTTGCTTAGGTCTCTTGGGTAAATGGTACATAATTGGGGAGAGAAGGGGACAAGGAAGAGTTTGGGGTCTAATTAAATATGCTAAAAAACTACTTAATTATGTATTTCCTCAAGAGACTAGCTGCTGTGAATTCTTCCTTAAGATTAAACTGTATTAGGTTTGAAGAAAGGATGTTGTTTTTGCTTTGGAATTATAATAATATTGTGGTTAAGGAGATGAATCTAGAATCCTTAACAATTTGGGCAAACTGAATTGTTGGTTTTGGTGAATCTGAGAGTAAGCATCTTTGCTTTTGTACTATAGTGAAACAAATATCGTCAAGTACTTATTTCTACAGCTGGTTTATAATTTGTAAATTTAAAACTATTGTTGGTTAATAAATTTTTAAGGCATGGAATTGAGAGAGAACAACAGTACTTACACCGTGTGTCTGTGTGTGTGTGTGTGTGTGTGTGTGTGTGTGTGTGTGTGTGTGTGTGTGTGTGTGTGTGTGTGTGTGTGTGTGTGTGTGTGTGTGTGTGTGTGTGTGTGTGTGTGTGTGTGTGTGTGTGTGTGTTCCTAGGGTTTGAACTCAGAGCCCTGAGCTTTTTTGCTCAAGATGAGTGCCTTACCACTTGAGCCACAGCTCTACTTGTAGTTTTTTTGGTGGTTAATTGGAGATAAGAATTTCATTGATTTTTCTGCCCGTTCTGACTTTGAACTGTGACCCTCAGCTCACAGTCATTATAGCTATGAGCCCCTATCACCCGGCTGGAGGTTGCGTTTCAAGAGGTGAATCTATGGTGACAAAAAAAAAAAAAAAGAATCTAAAATTTGCTCTCCCATGCCTTATCCCATACTTAAGAAAGTTTTGTCAGTATATCACCTCTATTCTAGGAAGCCAGGTTTATGCATTCACACACAAAGTGCCTCAGGCTACTTAACCTCAGTAAAACTTGTTGAGGGTTCAGGATATAGTACTTCAAAATATTATACCCGGGGGCTGGGAAGGTGGCTTAGTGGTAGAGCGCTTGCCTTGCATGCCAGAGGCCCTGGGTTCGATTCCTCAGCACCACATAAGCAAAAAGAAAAAATCCGAAAGTGGCGCTGTGGCTCAAGTGGTAGAGCGCTAGCCTTGAGCTGAAGCGCTGAGGGACAGCGCCCAGGTCCAGAGTTCAGGCCCCACGACTAGACCCTCCCCCACCCCCCAAAAAAAATTATACCTGGGAATAGTGAGTATTTTATAGCTGAAGGAGTTTGAGAAGTGGCAGGAAAGACTGTGGTGCTCTGCACTTTTCACCAGGAGCAGGTCACAAGGTCTTCATGTGAGGGAAAGGAATCTCTTTATCTCTGAAGATGGAGAGATGGAGGGAATCTTAACAGCCTTTGCTGTCTTTCCCCTGGCTGTCAGCACTTGCCTCATACCTTTTGTCTTATCGTAGTTTTTGAGGGCTTTCTACTTTGTCGTACAATAACCAAACACTCAAGTTTGATTATTTTTTGAGGTCTCCTTTCCTTATGAAGGTTTTATATCATGTAAAGTTTATATTAAATAACTTTGGGCCTAGAAACTGTTCCTGAGCATTTTGTTTTGTTTTGTTTAAATTTCTCAAGGCTAGCACTCTACGACTTGAGCCACAGCTACACTTTTGGCTTTTTTTGGTATTTAATTGGAGATAAAGAGTCTTATGGTCTTTTCCTGCCCACGCTGGTTTTGAACCATACTCCTCAGATCTTAGCTGCCTAAGTAGGTAGGATTATAAATATGAGCCGAGTATGTCTGGCTGTTAGTCTGTTTCTTGTTACAGATAACACTAGTCACGAACTAAGGGTAGAGCTGGGCACTGATGGCTCACACCTGTAATCCTAGCAACTCAGCAGGCTGAGATCTGAGGATCACAGTTCAAAGCCAGCCCAGGCAGGAAAGTCCATGAGACTCTTATCTCCAACCAGAAAACTGGAAGTGGCACTGTAGCTCAAGTGATTGCCTTGACCTGAAGAGCTGAGGGACAGCACCCAGGCCCAGAGTTCAAACCCCACAGCTGACCAAAAAAAAAAAAAAAGAAAAAGAAAAAGAACTAAGGGTAGAATGAAAAGATGGTTTTCTTCAATGTAAGCTCCAGAATGTAATGATTATAGTATATTTTCCTCCTGAGGATAAGACCTGTTAAGTAGGACCTACATGTAGCACAGAGGAAATAGCAAATACCCCACTGCTGCTACTGCCTCTTTCTGAAGTCAGGGAGTTGAGAATGTCTCTTATAATTTATTAAGTCATTGACAGGAAAAAGTGAAGGGAACCTGATTTTAGATTAGTGTTCTTTTTTGTTTGTTTGTTTTGGTTGTGGGGCTTGAACTCAGGGCCTAGGTCCCTGTTTCCAGTCTCTTTTGCTAAAGGCTAGCACTCTACCACTTTGAACTACAGCTCCACTTCTGCTTTTCTGGTGGCTCATTGGCAATAAGATCTCACAGACTTTCCTGCCCAGACTGGCTTTGAACTTCGATCCTCAGATCTCAGCCTCCTGAGTAGCTAGGATTACAGGCATGAGCCACTGGCACACAACTTTGGTTAGTGTTCTTAAACAATATATAAATTTATATAATTTTTATATAAATTTAGGAATCCTTGTGGGCTTATAGCCCTCACTTCACATAGGAAGATAAAGAAAAATAATTTGTTCATTCATTCATTGGTAATAGCTATTTTTTTTTACTGTAATGGTAATATACAGAAGGGTTACACATACATAGCTCAGGATATGAGTACATTTCTTTTTGAACAGTGTCACCCCTCCCTCATATCCCCCAGTCTTTCCCCTCCTGTACCCCTTTTCCCCAAGTTGTATAGTTAATTTCCAACATAATGTCTAGCGAGTATCACTGCTGAATTGGTTCACTCTTTTTCTTTCCACTCTTTCTGTGCTTCCCCTTCCCTTCCCCAATCAGATAAACTTATATATTAAGACAAAGGGTACAGAAATAAAGTGACAAAAGGGAAAACAAAAGAGAAAACAAAAGAAAAAAAAAAGAACCACAAACAATACAATAAAAAAACCTCTTGTTTCCATTTCTTGGAGTTCATTTTGTTAAGCATCATTTTTTATGATTATATGCTCATGGCACAATACCTATTTATTAAATATCTGTTAGAAAGGTAGTTGAATATTAATAATTGCTTAGAAGTTTAATAAAATGTTAAGAATCTTAACTACTTGATTCAGCTAAATTCTACTCTCTAAATATAAGAGGAATGTTTGCCCTGACAAGTGCTTAAAAAGCAGAACCAGTTCCAGTTCATATAGACAACTGTGACTTTGATTGTGTTAACTTGTTAGGAAGTAACCACTTCTCTGTTAGAAACTGTTTTAACAGGGAAACTGCAGAGAGCATGGGGGAAGGGGTAATTCATGAGTGCTAATTGCTTGGCTGTTAATTTTCATAAGTGTTGATAGAAGCAGTTCCTTAAATTAAACTTTGTTTAAAATGTATCAGGGGAAATATTCCACAATGTCGAGCCTGAAGTGAAAATTAATATGAATGCTGTGGCAATTAACACATACTGGTTAATAGCTTTTAGCAGCATTTTGGGATGATAGTCCTTAAATACATTTTTGCATGCTGCTGTTGTTTCAGCATTGTTCCAGTCTATGTCTGGATAATTATGAACAAATGTTTTCTACAATTATTGGGATTAAGTAGCTCTTTTCAAAGAAAGTCACTTAAAACTTTATAGAAAAGCATGAAGCCACTAGTAATATGGGAAACTTAGAAAAGGTCAGAGAAATTGAATTCATGTTTTAAAAAAATGCCCTTAGAGAAAAATGCTTCGCATCTGAACTTGGAAAAATTACTATTATCATGGGAATGGTCCCTTCTAATATGTTAAGCCACTTAGACTTAAGAATCATTTTCCAAAAAGTGATAGCCTGGGCTTCTTAATATTGACCTTGTTTCTTTCCCAGCAGCTTTTGCTTATTGCTTCCTGAGCTGAGGCAGTGGCCTTGAGCCTAATGGCCTTTTGGCCTGCCTTCTCTTCCACCTGCCCAAGCTGGACTGCTCTCCTGCTCCCACCCCCCAGAAAAGGTGGCTGAAATGGTGGCTATGTAACAATTAGTCCCCCTTTTCTTCCCCCTTCTTCCTCCCCCATCTTCTTTAATAAGAGTTCTCCTGGGATTCACAACAAGAACCTAGTGATGAGACAAATCCAAGGTGACTGTGTTTTGAATTAGGAGCTGTCTCATGCTTCCATTGGCTTTATTTTATGTACCTTTTTAAGTAAAGAAAAATGAAGTATCAATATCATATTAACAGTTACTATCTTGGATACTTTTCTCTGTGACTGTAAGTTGTTTCTATTCGTTAAAAGAAAGGTACAAGAAAGAAAAAGAAAGGTATACTAATAGAAGGATCAAACTCATTCAAGACATGTTTCTATGAGATTGATTATTCTCTCACCATCACTCTGTTGCATTCTCCTTCTCCTGACGTTACATTGGAATTCCCTTGGGATTGTTGTCTGAATGGTTTTCAAAATAAGGAAGAATCTTATAATGAAAAAAGCCTTTTAGCATGGTACTGAAGTTAGTCTATGCTGAATTGTTAAAAGTAGCTTGTATTCTGAGTTCTCTGTCTAGGCATCACTTCTGCAGTTTGTTCTGAATGATTCCAGACAATGGTTGGCTTCCTGTGGTTATAAAGTCATCTTTTCAGATGGGCATTGATGGCTAATGCCTGTCATCCTAGCTACTCAGGAGGCTGAGATGTGAAGAATGTGGTTTGAAACCAGCTCAGGCAGGAAAGTCTGTGAAACTCATCTCCAATAAGCTACTCAAGAAAAAGCTGGAAGTGGTGCTGTGGCTCAAATGGTAGAATGCTAGCCTTAAGCATAGAGAGGCTCCGGGACAGAGCCCAGGCCTTGAGTTCAAGTCCTAGGACCAGCAAAAACAAAACAAAACAAAGTCATCTTCTCACCAAAGGTAGAATGTTACCATTTTCAAAGCTTTTCAAATAAGGCAGAATTTTTCAGTTGAGAGAAAGTATCTGTTGGGCTTAAGATCCTAACTCAATACCCATTTTCTATGTGACATTGGGCATACTATTTTGTCTCTTTGAGCCTATTTTCATGTCTACAAAGTGAGCCTAGTGATAATCTTAAAATATTATAAGGAGCTGGGCGACGGTGGCTCATGCCTGTAATCCTAGCTATTCAGGACGCTGAGATCTGAGGATCGCGGTTCAAAGCCAGCCCAGGCAGTCCGTGAGACTCTTATCTCCAATAAACCACTAGAAAACCGGAAGTGGCACTGTGGCTCAAGTGGTAGAGTGCTCGCCTTGAGCTGAAGAGTGCAGGGACCGTGCCTAAGCCCAGAGTTCAAGCCTCACAACCGACAAAAAAAAAATTATAAGGATTCAATGAAAACCACTTTTGGCCCCTCGTATGCGCCTGGGTCATGATCCTCCATTTTAGGCTTTTCAACATAGCTAGATGACAGGCATATATCATCATTGAGTCCTCATGGATTTTTCTACCTTTACTGGCCTCAAACTGTGATCTTAATCTTGGCCTCCCAGTAGCTAAGATGATAGGCACATACCACCAGGCCCACCTATTGGTTGAGAAAAGTGTCTTTTGTGTTTTCCTGTGCTGTCCTGGGATCATAAGTCCTCTCATTCTCAGCTTCCCAAGTAGCTAGAAGTATAGATGTGAGCCACCAGTACCTGGCTTATTTTTCTTAGTCTATTCTCTCTGTCTCTGTCTCTATCTCTCTTTTCCTTTTTTTGGAGATGGTGTCTTACCTATACATTACCCAGACTAGTTTTAAACTCTTGGGCTCAAGTGATTTACCTGTTTTAGCCTTTAACCTTACAAATAATTGAAACTATAGTCATGTGCTACCACATGTAGCTTAATTTTCATTCCTTTAAAAATATTATTAAATAGTTGTACAAAGAGGTTACAATCTGTTAGTTTTGAGTACAATGCCTATTGTTTAGTGTTACCCTTTCATCAACCTACCCCATTATTCCCCTTCCCACCTCTCCTGTCATTAATTTTCATTCTTAATTTCCATTTATATTTACAAATGGAAATTTGAGTTATAGAACTGGAAGGGCATATGTGATAGAAGGAACACAGACATGTTATTAGAAGAGATAAGAATTAACCCTGGTGGTGGCATTTTTTTTTTTATGGGTTCTAAGGCAGGTCACATTCCATTGTAAGGCATTGGCTTCTTCCTATTTGGGAGAATTGACTTATAAGACCTCTTAGATTCCTTTGGTTTTAAGATTCTATAGTTTTGTGATTAGTCATGTGATTGACACAATTGATATCAATGACCTGTAAAGAGTTGGAGGTGAGAACATTTGAACTTTTTTTTTTTGGTACCAGTATTGAGGCCTGAATTCAGTGTCTTGTGTTCTTGCTTGGCTTTTTCACTGCTGGCACTTTACTATTTGAACCATATTGCTGGTTAGAGATGGAGTCTTTCAGACTTTTATGCCTGTACTGGCTTTGAACCTTGATCACCAGATCTCAGCCTCCTGAGTGGCTAGGATCACTGGTATGGGCCAGTGCCTAGCAAAAATGAGTGTATATTTTTCCTTTTAATTATTATAACAAAGGTATGATATAGGCCACTACATCTCTATTGTATAGGTGAGGGAATGGGCTGAGAGAGACTAAGTGACTTGCTCAAGGAGACTAATAGATGGCAGAGTTAGTATGAAACTCCTTTTTCCTTATTCCAGGAACACAGCTCCCTTTCCTATATTGTTTTATAGACATTGTTATGAAGAAAACCACTGTTAATATTTGAAAAAAATTATTTTATTTCATTTTAGTTTTTTGTTGGTCATGGAGCCTGAACTCTGGGTCTGGGCACTGTCCTTCAGCTTTTCAGTTCAGGGCTAGCGCTCTACCACTTAAGCCATAGTAGCTCTACTTCTGGCTTTTTGTGCTTATGTGGTGCTGAGGTATCAAACTCAGGGCCTTATACATGCAAGGCAAGCACTCTACCACTGAGTCACCTTCCCAGCCCAATATTTGAAAAATCTCAATAATGAATTCAAGATCTGATAGACTGGTCTAGTTTATTTATTTATGTTTTTGGCCATACAACATATTGAACCCAGGGTATCATGCATCATATGCTAGACAAGCACTCTACCACTGGTCTGTGTTTCAGCCCTTTCCTTTTCATGTTTTTGAGAGATGGTCTCACCACCTTTCTGCCCAGGCTGACCTTGATGCCCTAGAACTTGTGATCCTTCTGCCTCCTCTGGGATTACAGGTGTATACCACCACATTCCACTGGTTTAGATCTTCTTATTAGCTATATGTATTGAATTAGGTACTGAATCTTGTAGGACAGAATCCCGTTACTTGTAAAAAGGAAGTAAGATAGGGGCTGATGAAATGGGACAGGTTTCCTCATAGAATCCAGTATGTGTTCCCCTGATGTTTTGTTTCTTTCTATTGAATTCTGTAGTTTTCCAAACATGTTCATTTTTACATTGCCATCCACCCAGTAAATTACTTAGCAGCCACACAGTACTGTCTTATTCCAAATTTTTACTATATATTGACTCTAGAAATAAGATGTGGCTAACTGCCCTGGAAGAACTTGAAGACGAGTAGTTATGTAGTCAGCAAATAGAGGAACCACACTTTTTCTGCAGGATTGTGCCCAGTGCTGGGACTGTGACAGTGGTTGGTGACTTCATATGTATCTGATTGAGCAGAGAAATGGACTGTTGAACAGTGAGCTGAAGAATAAGTGACAGGTACAGGAGTAGAGATCATTACAGAAGATTCTTGGAGCGTGGAGCAGCATTGACGAATAGTAGGTGAGTGGGAGCTTTGATTTGACCTGGCTTCTTATCTAGTGTGT